GAAGAACAGAGAATTTTGGACCGAATATCAAGAGTGGCAATTGAAGGGAATGTAAAAAAGAAAAAGAACTTAAATGTAACAGATTTGGGGCCGGGTTGTTTGAACAAGAAGGTGCTAATCTCTCACCAGTTTGAAAAAATTCACATATTTTTCATCTTCAATTCCTGAATTTCATAATTTTTCTAGGTTCCGATTAACTCCTGAAACCCTTTCGAAGAATTATGGGAATATGCATCATTAGGAAGAAAGGAGAACACATACACTTCTATCAATTATAGACGAGTGAATTTTTTTTTTTTTTTTTTATGTATTAATGTATAGACAACACGACAAACCAATTTATATCAGACTTTTGGATGTATGTATGAATGAACACCACAAACTGCATTGATAATTAATATTTTAGTAATAAAATGATCATTGTCTAGTCTACCTGTTTGCGTAATTTAGTTATTTAAAAAGAAATCAAAGCCTAAGTCAACTCGTTAGTAATGGCGTGACTGCGCACAATTTCTTTTACAAGGTCTTTCTTTTACTCAATTGTATCAATTGTATCGTAAAACAGTACTATTATTTTTTTTAAGTGTCATTTTAATTTTGTCAATCATTAACTAAATATTTGATGTTTTGATCTTTTATATATATTTTTTTATTATTACCATCATTTAGCTAATAATTACAATACGTCTTTTCATATTCACTCTTCATTTTTTTTTCAAAACATCCATCTATATCTTATGAGGATTATTATTGACAAAAAAAATATTCTTAATTATTGTGCAACTTTTCAAAACGACACTTATTAAAAATAGGATGGAGTAACATTTTTTGTGTCCCAAAATTCACAAAATGACATCTATATATAAATCGCATATCTAAACGAACTGCATCAAATAAAAACTAGTTCTGGTGTGAGAACTGTGAAAACCGTATTTGATGCTATTTTTAATATTAAATGATGCTATCATTTTTACAAATGCTAATATAAATTATGTTACTATTTTTAATAAAATTCATCCTAATTAAAAATAGCACCAAACACAATCAATCATAGCACCATGCACAATTAAAAATAGCGGTTCTCACGGTTCTTACACTAAGACTTGGTTCTCATTTGAACCACATCATATATATCAATGCATATTCAAGGTAACGGATAGTTTAATGTTATGCGAAATACTTCCACATATGTTGTAATGGCATATCCAAATTCACCGCATAATTTACAATATGCGAAATTATTTCACATATAGAGTTATCGAATATTCAAAATTGATAGCCGCATATTTTATGCGATATGTTTCTCATAGTTTACGGCTCGCATATCTAAACCAACATCAAAATTTACCATATGCGATAATGTTTTGCATATTTTGTTATCGCATATATAAACCAAACGTCGCATATTTTATGATTATGCGACATATTTTCGCAGAGTTTACGATTCGGATATCCAAATCACCATATAATTACCATATGTGATAACTTTTCGCATACTCTGTTCTCGCATATCCGAATTTAACGTCACATGTTTTATGTTATGCGAGATATTTTCGCATAGTTTACGACTCTTGTGTCAAAATCCACCGCATAATTTACTATATGCGATAACTTTTTGCATATTCTCTTATCGCATATTCCAATAAAACGTCGCATATTTTATGTTATGCTAATTTTCATATAATTATGAGTCGCATATCCAAATTCCTTGGATAATTTACCATATGCGTGAAGTTTTTGCATTTCTGTTATCGCATACCCAAATCGAATGTCGCATATTTTACGTTATTCGACATGTGTTCGCATACTTTACGACTCACATATCCAAATTCACCGCTTAAGTTAACATATGCGATAACGTTTCGCATTTATGTTATCACATATTTAAATCGAACGTCGCATATTTTATGATTTTGCAACAAATTTTCGCATAGTTTACGACTCGCATATTCATATCTATAACGTCGTATAATTAATAATTGTACGTAATATATTCGCATATTCAAGAATCGCACATCCAAATCAAAAGCCACTTAAAATTGCGACATATAAAATAATAATATTAAATAAATTGATATAATATTCAAAATAATGATATAAATAATTGTACAACTTATCCTCAACCCATACCTTGACTTTTAATATCTAAAAATATTTATCTTTAGGGGGTTCGTGATTAACATAACATAATAGATAGTCAACCGAAAAAAATTGACAAAAGAATTTTGAATGGGATTCAACAGCTTCAATCATATTTATCGACAAATACCTCATATTAAAACAAAGTAAAATGAAGATGAGAAATCCCAAAATATTTCAAAAAATTGCAAGTGTGTGTATAGTCTCATATTGGTTGATCGAATTGCAAGTGTGTATAGTCTCATATGTGTAGAGTCTCAAATTACAAGTGTGTGTAAAGAAAAAATTGGATTAAATTGGTTGACTGAAGAAAATAAGGTAATTAGTGTTATAATTGGCTTGTAGATTCCAAAATAGGAGATACCAATGGATTTAGAAAATCAAGCAATTTGATTTAAAGAAACATGAATTGATTTATTAAACATGGAATTATAAAATATATTAAGGTATTTTTGAAGCCTACATGGTAGATGATTAGGCAACTGAACCTAGACATGTATTAATACGAAGCATAAATTTGTGTCAAGTAAGTTTCGAAGCATGCGAGCCTGACATTTAAGCTCAACATATTTTGAAATTATATTTAGGGAGGAATAAGAATAGTTAGATTAACGTATACGTATATTACATGGTTATTTTAGTGTATAACTTATTTTAGTACACATTTATATGATGAGAGAGAAACTCAAATAATGTAGATCATAGTTATAATGTAACCTTTTTTTGAAAGGATTTTAAGAAATTATGAATCGAACTAATGTAATAGTAAATAGTATTTGTGTTAGACATATATAATTTTATAAATGTAAATAAAACAGTTATCATTATTGAACATTTGAGGATAAAATACATTTATTTTTATAATTTGACAATTACATCATTAAAAAGGGAAAAGAAATAAAAAATAATGAAATAAATCTCAGAAAACAAATCTGAAAAATGAGATTTGCGTTAGTATTTTTTATGCTAAGGACAAGCATGATCTTTGGATCTTTAATTTAATTATTTATTACTTTTATTTATTGTTAGTATATTAATCATAGATTTGTTAGTAAAGTTATTTAGTTATTCTAGTGTTCTATTTGTAGGAAAGATATTTAAGTATTCTTTACTTGTTAGACAAGATTAGGGCTTTTTAGTAGTCTATTTAAAGACTCTTATTCTCTTGTGTTTCAATCGGTTGAATTTTATTAATAAAGATATTTGTGAGTCTTTCTATTGTTTTTGAAGTTGTACACGAGTACGAGAACAACCAGAATAGCGTTTAATATAATGAAATAGTAAACTTAAGAATGTTCATACAATTGAGGAAGCTAAGATTCTTAAAGCTGACCCTTCAGGAGAGCGTCTCACTCTCCCTTCGGATCTCTTTTATTAATGTAGATCTTCCAATCATTACTCAAGGGTTTACAATGCAGACTCCATCTACATTCCACTTGATGTAATTACCTACACAACTACTTATCCGACCACAAGTCCCTTGTGGTTTTTCTTGTTTGACTCCCTCAAACTGATCAGAATGAACCTCCGAGCACTCAGTAGTAATTCAAAACAATAAGCTCAAGGTGATCAATCTTTTCTTGATTCACCACCCAATAAAATAAAATACAAACTCTATGAATTGTGTTTCGTTTCTAAGCACTCTCAGTCTAGAAACAAAAGGTAATCAACACTTTTCTTCATACATGTCCCTGCATTTATACTCGGATTCACATATGGTAAGTGAAACCTTTCTTCGCTGCCAAGCCACGCTCCATAAGGTAAGTTCTCGATTGATTCTGCCGTCTCCATTTTTGAAATCTACTACTCACAACTGAATCTTCTTCATAAGGAAAGTGCATCTGGAATGCCTTCGATTAATCGTGCATAAATAATACACGCATTAGTTAATTAATATCTAGGAATTTAATCTAAAGATTATACGATAAACTTCCCTTAATTATTCCTGCGCAGCTTATTTCCATGAATAGATGAAGGTTCGTCGATTTACTGTCAATCTTCAAATACTTACAATCTCCCCCTTTGGCAGATAAATCGAAAACCTTTTACAAGGAACCTGCATTAAACTCGNGTTTTAGTTAAAACAAAACATAATCAAATGTCCAGCCAGAGATTCTGAACAGACTCTTCACCATCTTCAGTTTCATCATCCTCCGAACCTTCGTCGGTCCCTGCTTCAGTGTCCTCCTCTGTCCCAGCCTCTTCTTCTTCTTCGGACTCAGCCTCCTCCTCTTTTGCAGCATTAAGACCTTCACCCTCTGTAACCTTTTCTTTTGTAGTAGCCTCAATCTCCTTCCCTTTTGCCTTTGATCTCTTCTGTCCACCTTTTACTTTCTCCCCCTTAGTGTTATCGACCTTCTTCATCTTATCCCCCTTTTTTGATTTAGGTGGCAAAGGAGCTCGCTGCCTCAGCGTACCAATCACCTCCTTGTAGTACCGACGTTGATGAACCAACTTCTTCTCAAGACCAGTAAGAACCGCCACTTGCTGATTAAGAAACCCCCAAAGCTGAGAAGGGACATCAGACACCTTCACCATGGATGGAAGACGAGGAACTGACTTAACTCCGGCAAGAGCAAGTGGTTTCAGATTAGGGGAGAGCTCGTCACTGACACGAGGGTCCATCTTGACCCCAAACCTTGAGCAAAATAGCATAGATGGTTGACGGAAAGGGCATAAGCTTGTGAGGCTTAGAGATCTCAGCAAATGACACAACAGTCTCAAAAATAACAGACCCCAAATCAAATGGCACCCCGCTAAGAATACGAAAGATAACATGAGCTTGGGTAGGGGTGACAAACTGCTTGTGTGAGTGTAGTTAGCTTATAAGGTTGTGTTTGGTAAACCTAGGTGATAAGCTAGCTTATAGCTTTTAGTGAATTTCGAGCTTATAGCTGATAGCTTATGACTTATGGCTGAAAAGCTAGCTTATATGATAAAAATGTTTAATAAAATTAGCTGATAAGCTAGCTGAAATAAAAATTTCAATGAGCTTATTTGAAAAGCTACCCAATGAAACTTATGAGATAAGTTCGAGCTTTTTAAAAAACTCGTACTATCAAACTAACATATTTGAATAGAGAAAGCTTATAAGCTAATCAAACAAGCTATAAGTTAGCTTATATGCTTACAAATATGTTTGATTTGGTAGGACGAACTTTTTTAAAAAAGCTCGATCTTACCACATAAGCTTGTTTGGGTAGTTTTCAAATAAGCCATCGAAAAGTCAGCTGGCTTATCGGATAATTCTACCAAACCTTTTTATCATTTTAGTTAGCTTTTCATTTACAAGTTAGCAGCTATCAGCTATAAGCTCGAAATTCACTTATAACCTACCAGCTATTAACTAATTTATCTACTAGTTTTACCAAATCTAACTTTAATAAATAGTTTATCTTCGCTTTATTTTGTATTGCTTCCTTTCCAAGTGACCTACAAAAAATATAATTAAAGTAATACAAGATTATTCGAATTATGCCAATTCAAAAAAGTAACACATTTTTTGACCCAAATGTCATGCTTTAAATTATGATACAAATAAAAATTATGATAGGACAGTGTAAAGTATGCAGGTAATAGTTAGATAATCATATTCTTTCAATAAATATACATGTTTTCATACTCGAAATACCATACTTTAAAATATACTATAAACCATACTTTAAAATATACTATAAACAAAATTTCCACACTTATATTAATATGCGACAAAATTTTAGAAAAGATACACCAAGTTTGGCGTTGTCAGGAAACGAGACATTATGTTCTCCCAAACGGAAAAGATACATTTAGTTGTCAGTTTGGCCGAATAAGATGCATTAATCACCCAGTCCAGATAAAATGCTGATGTGGCATGATAAGATAATGACATGGCATTTAAACTTTCTTTCATTTCCTACGTGTTATTTACGTGGTGTGATGTGACATCCTTCTTTCCAAGTACACAACTACACCTAGATTAAAAAATAAAA